AAGGTGGTATATTGGGTTTGTATTATGGGGGGTATTGTCTATAAAAACGAGGATTGTGTTTATTATTCAATGTTATATATCCCGGTTTTGCACAGTATACATGTGATTGTATGGAATGAAATGGAACTAAACATATTTTCACAGAAAAAAAAAAAAACTAAAAACAATATAAAACAAAGAAATAGTTGTAAGCTGAGGAGTACCTGGGGTGGTCCTTTACCCCAAGAAGGGCAAATGAAAGGTTTTCAATTTTTGCTGGAGGAAAGGAGGGGGGAGAAGCCATCGGAGACCGGCTCACCAGCTTTTACATGGGAAACAGAAGAATGATTCATTTCCTTTCCAACTGTTGAGCTAAAGCTTTACTTATTCCAAAATTGGAATAGTCATGATTTACACCAGCAAAAATTGAACAGCTGAGCATAAAAGGCACCGTTTGAAGGGGTGGAGGGAAGAGAATGCCATATGGGAAAAGAGCTGCTTTCAAAACATGAACTTGGCCAAAATGATGGTCTCTGCACACAAAAAACAAAACAAAAAAACACCTCCTTAAATAAGAGATAGGAGGAGTGTCCTGTTATCTTCTGTAAGGGTGTGTGGGAAGGACCTGGGGAGACAGAAGGATGAGCTGCAGACTGGACAGCGGTTAGAGAAGAGGCAGCCGATCACGCAGAAGGAATCAGGGCATGGCAAAAGTCACAAAGACTTTGAGGTGTGTGTGGCCACGATCTTAAGCAGCAGATCTTGGATTTGGACAAAATTCCGGTTTGGACAAAACTCAACAGCATTTTTTCATGTGACTGTTGATAAACATAGGATCGCCAACATCCCATGACAGATATGGCACAACAATAAGAAGAATATCATCCAGGTGTACTAGAGATAGTGGGATGTGGCGGCTCAGTGGCTAAGACGCTGAGCTTGTTGATCAGAAAGTTTGGCAGTTCGAATCCCTAGTGCTGCATAACGGAGTGAGCTCCCATGACTTGTCCCAGCTTCTGCCAACCTAGCAGTTCAAAAGCACGTTTAAAAAAATGCAAGTAGAAAAATAGGAACCACCTTTGGTGGGAAGGGAACAGCGTTCTGTGCAGCTTCGGCGTTTAGTCATGCCGGCCAGTGTTGGGTTAATGCCTGTTCGCCCGAGATTGGGCGAACCGGTAGTGGAGGTGGCAGGAAGCTCCGCCCACCTGCCCAGACGCTTCTGCGCATGCGCATCACATGAGTGAACCGGTAGCAAAATAAATTGCAACCCACCACTGGTGCTGGCCACATGACCACGGAGACATCGTCGGACAGCGCTGGCTCTTCGGCTTTGAAACGGAGATGAGCACCGCCCCCTGAAGTCAGGAACGACTAGCACATATGTGGAGGGGAACCTTTGCCATTTACTTGAAAGGGGACTGCAAAATGTTGGAAGATAAACCTTGGAAAGAGGAGCAGGACCAGGGGAAGGTTCCTGCCAGTTCTAACTTCGAGGTTCCACAAATCTACAGTGCCATTTATAATCGGTTCCAGCTCCCTCCCCCCCCATCCCCCCATCATCAAGATGAAGAGCAAGAGGAGGAATTCTGGGAGTTGAAGTCCACAAGTCTTAAAGCTGTCATGTTTGAACACCCCTGGGTTGTTGTTTTTCTCTAAAGGGTTAGGGGTGCAAGGCTCTTGTAACTTGACAGCTTTAAGACTTGTGTGCTTCAATGCCAGAGTTCCTGAGCCAACATTTTGGTTGCTAAACAAGAGCGTTGTTAAGTGAGTNTTCAGAAGATTGCAAAATGACCCAGGGACCTTCGTAAATTCGAGCCAATGGCCAAGCATCCAAATTTTGATCAGATGACCATAGGGATGCTGCTACTGTCATAAATGCGAATAACGGCCCGATGTTTTTCAGGACTGTTATAACTTCAAACAGCCCCCAAACCAATAGTTTTAAGTTGAAGGCTCCCTGTAAACTTAACGAGGCTGTGTTTTCCTCTCTTCTCTACTCCAGCCCATAATAAGCAGCCACATATCAGGGCCCCCACTCCATCTTTTCATTGACACTGGGCGAAATGCCAAAGCAGGCCCACTCGGATTCCTAACTTGGCTGGGAAAAAGGAAAGAGGAACACCAACTCAGGAGGATGAGTCATAATAGCCTGAGATTTCCCAAGCAGAAACGCTCAATTTTTCCCTCTCTCAAGACTTGCCCTTCAAACCCACCGAAGGGCGTCTTGGAAATCTGGCCTGCTTTCCGTGGACGAAGGCCGAAACCCTGAGCAGAAGGAAGTCAGAAGCGGAATCAGTCAGGAGGGATGAGGACCAACCTGTCCTCTTGAACTTTGGTGAACCTCAAGAAGATGCTCCATTCCACCACCACCACCCCACATCTCCCTCCTTCAAGGTGTCCAACCTGATGGTAAAAAACACCCCAAATCTGATCGAGCCCCCGAACTCCACACTGGATCAGAACGGAACTCACGTGTCCAACTCTTAGGAGAAGACCAAAAGTCCAATGTAGACCATCCTTTGGCTCCTAGTCAAGGTCCTCCAGCTGTCCTCAACCTTGAATGCAGCTCCCCACGTTCTACCCAACTTAGCACCTGTCGTAAAGCCCTATTTGTCTTGGGGAATACACAGCGATTCAACCTTCATTTTTTTGGGTGCAAAGTCCAGGCTGGGGAGGGGATATAGAAGGGGCCTCAGGTGAGATGCTGCTTTCGGAACCTATGGCCGCCGTACATCCGGATGATCCTGGGCGCCTGTTTCCAGATGCTCAGCAGCTGCGAGGCCACCCTCTCCAAAGCAGGCCGGTCAAAATCAGCCAGCAAGTTTACCGGAGAGGCTTCTTTGACAAATTTGGGCAAGCTCAGGATTTCGGGCAGGTGAGGGTTCCCGAGGAAGAGGTGGGCCAGCCTCCCTCGCTGGAGAGCCTGCACCAGGAAAAGGACCACGTCCTCCAGCCGGGCCACCAGGAATTGGTCCTCCCACGCTTGCCACGGGCTACGCAGGAGGACCCAGAAAAGGGCCGTCTTGAGGACGTAGGAGGAGAGGATCCGATCCCACTGGGCGGCCCAGGGGGGCTCCAGGGCGCGGCCCCCCAGCTCCCTCAACCCTTTGAGGATCTGGAGGCATCTCAGGTGGCAGGAGTCCGCCGGGACTTGGTCCCGAAGCCAAGCCAGGAAGCGCTGCTCCGCTTTGGAGAGGTTGAGGGTCCAGAAGGTGCCCAATTGGGGGGCGGCAGAACGCTGCGGGCAGCAGACCCGGGGGGTGAGGTAGAGCCCCTCACCCAGTGGGATGGCCGGGGTGAGGTGGACGGTCAGGGAGAGGTGGCAGCAGACGTAGTCGGAGCAAGGCACGATCTCTAACGCCAGCGGGCAGGGGGCAGCAACCCCGACGGCTAGTCGTACCCGGCAGCGCTCTTGCAGGCGGGCACGCACGGCGCCCAGGCAGCGCTGCACTTGCGCCTGGAACCAGCGGGCCACCAGTGCCGCCGACAGCAGGGACGCCCCGTCGGCCTCGCCCGGCCCGGCAGCCACGCACAGTGCCCGGCTGGGGGAGCCTTGCCCGCCCTCAACTACCCGCAAGGCGCAGAGGAAAACGCCCCTGGCCCCGGGCTGCCTCTGTTGTTGCTGCTGCTGGTCCTCCGTCCCGCAAGGGAGGGCTCGTAGCTCCAGCCCGGGCGGCAGGCGCAGCGGCAGCAGCACGTCGAAGCCGTCGGGGCTGCCCACCTTGTGCTGCTCGTAGGCGCTGCCCACCTGGACGGCATCCCCGCGCAGGGAGAGCCGGCCGGCCGCCTTGCCGGCGCGCAGCAGCTCGCCCACCACCAGGCTGACGTGGGCTTTGCTGTGGCCCAGCACGTGGGGCGAGAGCCGCAGCCGAGTCTCGTAGAAGCCGTCCAGCAGGGCGCGGCGGCGGGCTTCCCGGCCTCCGCAAGCGCCGGGGCTGCGTTGGGCGGCCCGCTNCAGCGCCTGCGTGATCCTCCAGGAGCAGCTGGAGCATCGCACAGACGCTAGTACGCATGCGTGTGCCGCACGCATGCACGCGCGCACCGCACGCGTGCACGAGGACGCCGCCGGCCCCGTTCCAACCGAACTGGTTGGAACAGGGCGAGAAACCCACCCCTGCACTGCAGGCTGGTCCTTTGTTGTTTCCAGGGCAGCCCTGTGGGCCAGATCTGAGCGCCCCATGGGCCGGATCCAGCCCCCCGGGCCTTGCGTTTGAAACCGCTGTCCTTAGGGTCTTCTGGAGTAAAAGAATTGGCTGTCATCGGGGGTCTTTTAATCTGATCCTGGTGTTTCTTACGTTCATTGTGGCCTCAGCTCCATCAACCACCCACGAAGTGGGTGTTGACTGGATGCCGAACCATTAAGAAGTCTTTTGAGGTATTAAAAATGTCCTCCTGATCATTCCAACCTTAAAAGCCGACTTCTTCCGGGAGACGCGAAGACTTGAAAAGAGGTTTTTGTGTCGATGGGTTACCTCTGGCAACGCGTCCATCAAGACTGAGCAGGGTTCTTGGCAGCTTTGCAGAAAAATAACAGGGCGCAGTAATCCCCAGAGTGTGTTTTATTATTAGGGACAAGTTTCGAATCAATTTTCTCCTTTTACAAAATCAATGGAAGTGCATTTTTTAAACAAAAAAACAATAACAACATGGCTTGGATAACATTAAATACAAGTTTTCCTTCTCCCCCAAACTTTCAACAACAGCCTTGCAAGAATCTCGGAAGCGTTTTTAAATGTTCTATTCCAGGGACCACAATTCTTTTCAGCACTGAATGCCCAAGCTGGGATCCTTGTGGGCATATGCCAAAGCACCGAAGAACAGCTGGATGGGACATGCCTGCCTGTTTTTTGGCCCTTTTTCAGGCTGTTTTCAGGACCATTTTTGGCCCGAAAAACAGCCTAAAAACACCCCGAAAAATGGCCTGTTTTTCAGGCCAATTTGGGGGCGTTTTGAGAATGAATGGCCTTAAAACTGCCCCAAAACTGCCCCAAAAAACCCAGGCATGGGTGCGCCAGCCAGCTAGTCTTGAGGGTTCTGGCATGCACACATGCTTACGCATTGTGGTTAGGGCACTCCATCACTGCCCTAGGAAGTGATCAGGCAATGTTTGCAAACCATTTGAACTATGCAATTGCGTGCCATGTTCATTCAGAAGGCTCCCTGCTTTAATGCATTTGCTCCGAATAAAATGCAGTCCTCTAAATGTGCTTTCTCTCTCTCTCTGGGCACAATGAGAATATATCTGCTGGGGTGGGGGGGGTGGGGGGAAGAACTCCGCACCTGTGACAGGAAGGGCATCTGGCCAGAAAATACTCAGCTCCGTTCAGTTGCCCAGACTCCACCCAGCAAAGGATTATGGGGGGTCATTAAAAGATGATGAGCTAAAATGTACTTTATGTGTCGCTTTGTGGCTGTGAGTCCAAGCTTCGCTTCTACGCCAGTGTTCCAGAAAACCCACGGTGCAGATCAGACGGCGTTTGAAAAAGCCCCAATGCCTGAAACCTTGCATTACCTCGAGTGGCTCTTGCAATGGAAGAGGAATGCTCTTATTAGACCCTAGGATAGCTGGATAAATATGTCTATCAGCTCCGAAGCGTTGCAAACCTACCCGTAATAACTCTTAATGATTAATTTCCGCAGAGACTGACGGGTGACTCATCGTCCCCCCCGATTAAATTAAATCTGGAAGAAGTGGGAATGTGTATCAGTGCATTTGCTGGCCAAGGATGAAGCGTGCCGTGAAAACGTGCTTTTAAAATACTCACATGAAAAGCGTTGTGTTTTCTTTATTTTTACTGAGATTTAAACTTTTAGTAAACCTGTGCAAAAATCACACACACACACACACACAGAAACACTCACTGCTATGCCCCTATTTTGAAAGAAAATTTCAAAATTCCTTTGAAAAGGATGTGAGGTTCTTGCGGTGACTTAGCAACTCGGCAGCTCAAAACGTGTACAAAGGTGTTTTTTCAGAATAACACACTTGCAAGGGACCTTGTAGGTCATCTAGTCCAACCCGCTCCCCCCCCCCCAATCCCAGCAGGAGACCCTATGCCATTTCTGACAGAGAGCAGTCTAGTTTCCTCTTGAAAATGTCTCCGGGGTGAAGCTCCCACACCTTCACAACTTTTCTTAGCATCGTTGTTGTTTTTCTGTGGCTTCTCACACACCCAAGGGCGTATAATCGTGAGGGAACATTGCCAAATGGAGAAGAACGCCAAGAAAACAACCTCAAGAAAATAAAATAATAATACTGCAACCTCAAAAAAAAAACCCTCCGGAGAAACGCAAAATAAATTCTTGACACAGAAAAACAGCCGTCAAAATGATCTTGGGGGGAAAAAACAACAGACAGCAGCTGTTAAGACGAATCCAGGTGCAGAAGAAACATGAATTAAACCCAGCTCGGTTTTATTGATCAGGACTATACGGCTGGTCCTCGACATACGACTGAAATGATGCCTGTCCATTTAGCCGCATGTCGTAAAAGTCGTAAAATGGGTTTGGTCTTGTGATCGGTCCAATTTTACAACCTTTTGTTGTGGCGGATTAAAACATACCTTAGAATTGTTCGATATATCAATTGAGACACCTTGATTTAACCAGGAACAATGACCTAGAAATGGGTTATAGGTGGTCCTTGACCTATAAGTTTCATTTAGTGACCGTTCAAAGTTATAACGGCACTTTAAAAAGTGACTTAGGACCATTCTTCACACTTATGACGGTTGCAGTATCCCCAGGGTCAGGAGATTTACCTTCGGATGCTTGACAGCTGACTCACATTTACGACAGTTGAAATGTCCCAGGGTCACATTGATCCTCTTTTACGACCGTCTGTCAAGCCAAGTCCACGAGGAAACCAGATTTACTTAACGACCGTGTTACTAATTTAACAACTGCAGTGATTTGCTTAACAAGTATGGAAAAGAACAGTCGTAAAATGGAGCAAAACTCACTTAACAACTTTTTCACTTAACAACATAAATTTTGAGTTCAATTGTGGTCGTAAGTTGAGGACTACCTGCATTCTTGGCCAAAAACTATCCACCAACGTAGATTTCACATGCTTTTTCTCAATACTTTCCCTTCTCCAACCGTGTGTTCAACCTCGTTCCTTCGTCTCTGTCGTTCTCAAGTCGTTTCTTTTCCAACTTTTACACCTGTTCAACCAACAGGCCCCATCTTCCCAAGGGTGTGTATCTCATGAGTTCATGCATTCCACATGAGCCAACCCAAAACTTATTTTTTTAAAAAGTTAGGGCCAAGTCATAAACGGGGCTTTGAAAAAAACTACTTAAAAGCAAGTTAAGACCTTCTTAAGATCCACAGCTGATGAACAAAACAACCCCTTAGATTTGTTCATTTGTTGCTCCAGCTTCAGAAACCCCATATTTGGGAACATAATTCTTTCTTAGCACCTGGTAACCCCTGGCAAATGTTTGGACCCACAATCAGTGCCTCCTCTTCTCATTTCATCAACCGTTGTGCCCCCAGCAAGAAATGCCAGCCAACTAGCTGGCCCAGGGCTACCTACGCCTTCAACGCTACCTTCAACATTCTCAACCTCAAGTCATTTGAGATCACAAACCATCTTAATGCTGCAACCCCGTATAAATGGAGATTGGTCCCTCTTTTTTGGAATCTAACACCCCCACCCTCCCCCCATATTTCATACCTAAGCAGGAAGCACTTGAGAGAAAGTCAATTCTGAAAGCCCCATCTCGTGTTGTATGGAGCACCTCAGACTGCAATGTAGAACTCAAGCATCCGTTCAAAATGTGTGCTGAGCCCTGTGGAATTTTTTTTGGGGGGGGGAGGAGGTTTAAAAGAGAGAGACACACACAAATACACACACAGAGATAGAGAGACAGAGAGAGAGAGAGAGACAGATAGAGAGACAGAGAGATGGAAACAGAAAGAGCCAGAGAGAAAGAGTGAGACAGAGAAAGAGAGACAGACAGAAAGAAAGAGACAGAGAAAGAGAGAGACAGACAGAGACAGACGAGAGACAGAGAGAAAGAAACAGAGAGATAGAGAAAGAGAGAGACAGATGAGAGACACAGAAAGAAACAGAGAGAGAGAGAAATAGAGAGACAGAGAGAGAGAGAGAGAGACAGACGAGAGACACAGAGAGAAAGAAACAGAGAGAAAGAGAGACAGAGAAAGAGAGAGCGAGACAGACAGACAGAGAGACAGACGAGAGACAGAGAGAAAGAAACAGAGAGAAAGAGACAGACAGACAGAGACAGACAGAAAGAGACAGAGAAAGAGACAGACAGAAAGAGAGAGACAGACAGAAAGAGACAGATGAGAGACAGAGAGAAAGAAACAGAGAGAAAGAGACAGAGAAAGAGAGAGACAGACAGAGAGACAGACGAGAGACACAGAAAGAAACAGAGAGAGACAGAGAAAGAGACAGATAAATAGACAGAGAGAGAGACAGAGACAGACGAGAGACACAGAGAGAAAGAAACAGAGAGAAAGAGAGAGACAGAGAGAGAGCGAGACAGACAGACGAGAGACAGAGAAAGAAACAGAGAAAGAGAGATAGAGAGACAGAAACAGAGACAGAGAGAGACAGACAGAGAGACAGACGAGAGACAGAGAGAAAGAAACAGAGAGAGAGACAGAGAAATAGAGAGACAGAGAGACACAGAAAGAAACAGAGAGAAAGAGAGAGCGAGACAGATAGACAGACGAGACAGAGAAAGAAACAGAGAGAAAGAGAGACAGAGAGACAGAAACAGAGACAGAGACAGAGAGACAGACAGAGAGACAGACGAGAGACACAGAGAGAAAGAAACAGAAAGAGAGACAGACAGAGACAGACATAAAGAGAGAGTGAGACAGAGAGAGACAGAGAAAGAGAGACAGACAGAAAGAGAGAGACAGACAAGAGAGACAGAGACAGAGAAAGACAATGACACAGAGAGAGAGAGAGAGAGA